GTAACTGTTGGAATTTCTGACTCGGTGTCATAATAAAGTATTATTATTTTATTAAACACATTTTGATTACAAAGATTTATTGGGGAATCTTTGCCGTACCTTGGAATATTTGTGAGAGATTATTTCTGGAACAACAAACTGTTCTATATAATCTCTAATTCTTTCTAAAAATTATCATTCGGATATGGATCAAATGGATTTTGATTACAACATAAATAGTTTTATATAAATAATAATATTACGATTTTGTATATTACAAAATATTTAGTGAAACAGATTTCAATCTTAAAACCGATATATCATTTTTGAGTCTTCTTCAAACAATGAAAATATAATCAGTTCAAAATTACAATCAGGTTCAAAAAAAAAGGCATATAGCAACATTTTGATCAAGTTGAATTAAAAAACAGTAGACATCAAGGATACAAGTGCAAATATTATAATTGAATACAAAAAATAGGCAAACTTAATTTAATGAAAGCATATTTGGCAATCAGTTGTTGTAAAGTATCTAAAGAGATAAAAAATATTTATTTAAATTTTATAAGTAATAGAGATAATATTAATAACAACAAACAGCAACTAAAAAAACAAAAACTTGATATCAGCAAAGAAAAAAAAATTGATGATTTTTATTAGTTAACAACAATTAATTTGAAATAGTAAAATTAGCAAACAAAGCTTTAGTAAAGCTTTTTGTTTGCTGTAGAATTCTATTTTCAATTACCAATCATCTATTTTTTCATGACTTTATTCATATTTTGCATTCTGAATATATGCTGTCTTATCGAATTAAATTATCTCATCAGTTCAATGCTTTTCTTCAAAGATTTCTTATTTAATAGTCAACAAAAAAGAAAGGTATTAGTTTGAAATTTATTAAAATAGAATATAATTTAATCTATATATCCAAATATGTAATTGGTTCTATAGTTCCTTTTGTTAGATAATCATTTTAACACTATTCAAACAATCATTACACTACTATATCTTAATAGAAAAATCACAATCTCAATATCTTTTGGACCAGCATATAAAATGGCTTTTTGTAAGAAATAGCATATAACTGATTATGATGCCAAATATCATATTAATTCTATTCAATCGTCTTTATATAAGATTGAAATGATATCTTGTGATCTGACCTACAGAGCACTAACCATTGTATTATAGATTTACAAGTCAAAAACAAATTTACTTAATAGACTTTTATTAATATATTATTAAATTTTATTGAATTTTTTTTAAACTATTAATTTAATTAACTTATAATAAATAAACAAATAAATTATATACAATAGTTTTTAATTGATTTATTTATAAAATAAAAATAAAATTAAGTGAAAATAACTTTTAATTAATTTTTAATTAAATAAATTATTTTAAAATATTTTAAAATTAATATTATAAAATAAAAAACAAAATAAAATTTTTATAAAATTAATTTGTATATTATAAAAAACATTTTATGATTTTTTTATTAGTTAAATTATTTTTTTTTAATTTTATAAATAATTTTTTTTAAAAATTTTTATATAATAAAAATTATTTCTCTGATCACAATTTATATATAAATTTTTAATCAAATTTTTTTTAGTTTAAAAATCAAATTTTATAATAAATTTAATAAAGTATTTAAAAAAAATTTTTATTTTTTTTTTCTAAAAAATATATATGTATTTAAAGTTTTATATTAAATACATTAATATTTATTTATTTATTATAAAAAATATTTGTTCAAAGAATTTAGACAAACTGTATTAATTGATTATGAGAGAAGTAGATAGCAATTCCAATTTCAGGTGCATAGTTTTTATAAAATTCATTAACCTCAGACCAATATGTTATTTAACTTTCTAGCTTCAAGATATTTTTTGCTATTATAAGTTAAGAGATCATTTTCTCTAAATATGTAAGAAGTTCTCAAATCCGTTTCATCCAATCAGTAGGAGTCTCATTTGATAAAACAATACTCATTTCCAGATATTTATCCCATTCAGCATTAATGCAATTGATTTCACGTCTATCACTTAAAGTTGGCCATTTTATATAACCTATTTGTAGTGTTTATGGAGTTATATGTAATTTGTATTGCGTTTAGGGGTTTAGACCTATTAGATATTCAATAATATATGATTCAATTTTTGTTTAATTGTATTTTAAGGGGTTGAGCAATATATGATATGAGAATGGGAGAGATACATATTTGTTGTATATTTGTTCATAATGAGATGAAAGTATAGAGCAGACTTCACTGTTTTATAGTAGAAAAGGTAGTTGTATATCATGTTTGTGGCATTAGCGTTTATAAAATTACGTATAAGAATCATATGAGGTTGCTCTCTTAGGGCTCGATGTCATATGATAAGTGTTTGAGAAACAACCGAATGTTTTATTCTATGCTAAAAGAATTTTAATTACAAAGTTTCGGGATGTACATAATAAGATCCAATATAGAAAATTTTATGATCATACTTTTTATTTACCAACATAAAAATCAGATCTATTAAGTAGAACCCAGTAAATAACAGCAAAACTTTATGATGTTTCTAAGTCACTATTTTGTTTCGATTACCTTATCAATATTATCGTAATTCGGAGTTTTTTTTTCAAATCGGCACATTCATCGGGCTATGGAACGTCGGCTTGGTCAACTTTATCTTCTCTGATTTCGTTTGTTTAATGTTCATTGTTATTGCAGACTGGTATAAAGTGGCCATATTGTTGACTATAACCTAAAAAAGAATATCAAGGTTAATGAATAAGTAAACATACATAATATCAACATAATTGATCGTCCGCTTACCCGAATTGTGTTCATGACCTTATAACACCGCAAGACAGTATCCCATGACGTGAAACCCCTCGGAAGCTCAAACTCTCCAATCAATATCATGCGATAAATCCCTTCAAACCGGAGGTCC